GTGCAGAAGAAAAATCCAGCCACTTTATTATGCTAAAGATCTCCCCCTTGTGCCTAAACTTTGTATTGAACTCAAGCAGGATTGAAAGTCATCAGCATGGTCTATGTATGGTATACAATTTTTTTTTTTTTTTTAAGTTAGGAGAAAAGCAACTTCCCGCCTCATATAAAGCAATTACTTGATATTGAGAGTTTGGGGCTATAAGTCTAATACAAACACTATTCTAGGAGGATGCAGAATAATTGGGTGACTTCAAGTAATTCACAGTAACCGAAGACTTGCAAATCTTAATAGGTATTAAGTTGCCTGAAGATGTTCGTTTCAGCTTCTTTAATAATAGCAAATATTTTGAACCCTCTACATAGCAAAAGAAAATAAGACCTAGCTATATGATGAAATGTTTGTAGCCATTAAAAACCATTTTTGAAAAAATGTTAACAAATGGGAAATTGATCACAACATGATATTGAAGGAACAAAACAGTATTCAAAGATGCATATATTTATGGAAAACTGACAATTATATATTTAATTCATTCAATAAGTACTAATTGATCTAATTGACCAGGCTGTCTTAGCAGACCCATTTTATCCTCAGACTTCAATTTAAATAGCATCACCTCAAAGGTTTAAAATTTATTTCAAATGTTGGCATTGAGCACCTACTCTGTGCTCAGTATGGTGTGTGAGGCGAAACACATGAAGACACAGTCGGTGGCTGCCCCAGGAAATGTATGAGCAACAGGAATCAATGCTTTTGAAGTGTCTTTGTAGGGACTAATTTTTCTCGTCTATTTTCTAAAAGGTCTGAAAATGGGGTGAATATTAAATAAACTGAAAGGGGAAGCTTGACCCACCAAAGAACAGCAAGAAGGCAGAACATGTGTGGTGGTCTCTACTGGGAAGGCTGAGTAGATCTACTGATGATGCTCCACACGCAACAGTAACCACCCTGCCCGTAATTTAAAAAGGGGAAGGATTGGGTTTACGGGGTTTATGGAATATTCAGGTGGCCACTAGGGGATGCCAGAATGCTGATATCTTTCAGCATGACTCCAGTTTCCCTAGGGAAATCTAAATTTGAGATTGAATGTAGTTCACGTTGACCAGAAATAACTTCTCCTTTTCCAGTAAAATTGTAAAGAATGTGACTTAGGTCACATGGTTAAAGAAGACCAGGAATTTATGAGTCCCAGATCATTATTGAGTTCCATGTCACACTGCTATGCAAGAAAAAAAATTTTAAACCCTACTTCCATCCCTCCAGCAGAAACTAATTAGTAAACTAGAAAAAAATTACAAAAGGAAAATGACAAAACCAACCAACCAGATAAAAACTTCAGAAGTTGGAAACATACTTGAGAATTTTTTAAAAATCTTTTAAATGGTATGATCCTGCTTGTATCTTAGGATAAAAATATAACTATACGTGTAGAAAAATTTAGAAATATATGTATCAAAATCTTAACAGGGGTGTTTGCAGGTGGTAGGATCATGTTTTTGTTTTCCCCCATTTTTTCCCTCTGCTTTATTCATTTCCTATAATTTCAAGATGTCACTTATTGCTTACTGTGTCAGACATGACAGTAGCACTTTATCTAGATAATAAGACAAGAAAGTGTGGAAGTGTTCAGTATCCCTGACCCTCACCCCGAGTCCAGCAAAAAAGAGAGAAGATTGGTAGAGGGAGAAGAACCGGAACAAGGTTCAGTGGGATTTGGGCCAGATAGCTATTAGGAAAATGGGTGAGAGAGAATTTTAATAAGTCTAACTTGATGTTTTCAATCCACTCTGGGGTTTTCATAAAATGTAAGTAAAGGGTGTGAACTATGTTGACATTGGTAATACTTTTATAGAAACATGACCTTGAAGATGAACAACATGGGTTCTGGCTTTTAAAAGGTTCAAAAGCATTACTGTATTTTGACACGAAATACTGCAATTTTTTTTTTAAAGGCTGAATCCCAACAAATATTATCCATCTGTTTGTTCAATCAAAAAGTAGCATAAACCTATGGAGTATAAACCACCATCTTCCACCTATTTACCTGCCCTTCATCCATATTTCCATCATAATACGCCTAAGGTAGTGGGTCTATGTCTTGATAAAAATGTATTACATGAAATTTATGAGCTGCTTTATCTGGGAGTTACTTCGTACTTAACATATATCAGCAGTTGAAAAAACTGCAGATGCTATTTTGGAGAAGTTACCGAGATCACTCAGCTCTTCAGTGGAAAGCCTACCCCCAGCGGACCCCAGAGCCTCAGCTTCCCTGCCATGCTTCTCTGCACCTATGCCAAAGGCACAAAGGCCAACTTGGCTGGGGTGGAAACAAGTAGGGGAAAGAGGGGGAAAGAGCTGCACGCAGAGCTCTGTCTATTGGGTGTCTCGGTCCCTCTTTGTTGGCTCTTAAGGGATGTTAAGAAGCAGTTCAAAAGCCAATGTTTTGCAACAAAAGAAAAAAAAAGAGAAAGACCATCCAAATCTAAAACTTTTGCACAGCAAATGATACCATCCAGAAAGTGAAAAGACGACCTACAGAATGGGAGAAAATACTAGCAAATATTATCTGAGGAGGCTTGTATGTAGAATACATAAAAACTCTTACAACTCAATAATAGATAACCTAATTTGAAATGGGCAAAGGAATTAGACCCATCTCCAAAAAAAGATGTACAAACAGCCAATAAGCACATGAAAATATGCTCAACACCATTCCTCCCTAGGGAACCGCAAATCCAAACAGCAATGAAACCACTTCGCACCCAGGCGCACGGCTGTAATCAAAACCACGGGCGATGCCAAGGAGAACAGCGTGTGGGGAAACTGGAGCCTTCATACAGTGTTGGTGGGAATGTAAAACAGCACAAACACTTTGGAGAAGTTTGGCAGTTCCTCAAAACATTAAATCCAGCTGCCATGTGATCCAGCACTTTCACTCCTCAGTATATTCCCAAGAGCTGAAAGCATACACGAAATTTATACATGAAGGCTCGCAGCATTATTCGTAAGTCAAAAAGTGAAACGGTCCAAATGCCCATCCACTGATGAATATGTACCTCCATACCTAGACAACGGAGTATGATTCAGCAATAAAAAGAAATAAAGTACTGATGCATACAGCATCTGATGACCCTTGAAAGGAAGCTAGTCACAAAAGACCAACTATTTTGTGATTCTATTTATATATGAAATGTCCAAATAGGCAAAAGCAGAGACAGAAAGTAGTTTCCTGGCTGCCAAATGCTGAGAGGGGCATGGGGAACGGCTGTTAATGGTAAACGATTCTTTTCGGGGTGATATAAATGTTCTGAAATTAGATTTGGTAATGGCTTCGCAATCCTGTGAATATACTAAAATACCGTACACTTTAGATAATGAATTATAGGTGGATCAAATCTCAGAAAAGTTAACTGGAAAAGCTACAGATGGGCCCTCCCTCTGCTAAGCATTTTTTTTAAATGTCCCCCTGATATCCCCTCACACAGTGCCACCTTTCTTGCTCGTTCTAGTTTGCTTCTCGCTCTTTTTTTGTAGGAAGAGTGAACTACTCCCTCATACATCCTAATTTCATTTTCTTAAAATATGGTAAAAACAGAAAAAATCTAGTGCTTTGGAAAATGTAATATATTACACTTGAGCTCACACTGTGGCTAGAAAGTCAACACAAATATACAACCGTGTTTTAACTTATGTGAAGTATCTACAAATAATTTGAATATGCTCAGTACTTAAGTAACTTAAATGTTTAAAACAGGAACACATGCAGATCAAGTAAATTTAAAATGTGCAGCTTTATATAAACATTACACTAAAATGTTTTTTAAACATTAAACAAAGGCATACATTATAACTTTAAGTAACATAATTTAAGAACTGTTTTGGCAACAGCTATAATACACATTATGAGTTTCTTCATTATATACACCTCATTTTAAATCTTCCCTTAACTTTCCCCCATTGGAAAATAAAACCAATGTGACTTTCAATACAATTCATTTTATTTTTCTAGTGCAAGAAAACATTTCCAGGTTTATTTCCAATTTCAGTTTCAAAACAAACTGACCTGAAATGTAGTTTATATTATCTGGCAATCATCAATAAATATGTAAGAATGTAGAAAATGAATCAATTCATTGGTAGTACTCCAAATTCGATGCACAAGAACCTTTCGTAAAGCATTTTAAAACTGCAGAGCGATCTAAAAATCTGTTCATTTAAAACACTTGTTAAAATATACTAATATTTTAGTTAACTATAGATATCATAAATAGAATGTTAAAGATATTATATCTTCCTTCAAATACAATTTCTTTCATTCTAATTTTGTTTCCCACCATCCATTCCACAGGTCAATCAAAATGCAAATGCATGCAAATAAAACAAGCCATGAAGTAAAATTTAAGAACAAAATTTAGAATTAACTTATTGAGGTAAGTTTTACTTTCGCGCTTTCAAATATCACAGTTGTAAGAAATGCCTCTCTTTACAAAGCATATTTAAGATATACATTTTCAGAGCCCTTATTTCCAAGGCCCAAAATCAAGTTTAATAAAATTCCATGCTTCCTAGATTAAATAGCATGCAGCATAATATTAAAAGTTAACTTATATTTTGCTTTCTGCTTAGTTATAAGTTCATAAAAATCACTTGAAATTATGCATTTAACTTGAAATAAGTTACTAAGATTCCAACATATATGTAAATATCTGTAACTAGTTTAATCCATCTATCCCTGAACCAAAGTAGGGAGTCGAGATGTTCAAAGGAAAAGCATCCTGAGTATGTGTAATAGCACCGAGAAGCCAAGCTTCCCAGAGCTAATACAGAGCAGTCGAGTGACTAAATTCATACTGCTGTTTTGAAGATGAAAACTGCCCGTCAGATCTTTCTACACAACTTAGAGCTCTTGAACCAGGTCAAAGCGGACCATCAAACTGAAAGACTCCATATTTCCCAGTAGTCAGCCAGTTGGGATCGGAAGCTGTGAGCTGCTCACCTTGTCCAGGCTGCAGACCAACCTGAATCTCAGCTTTTAATGTTCGTATGCTGCAGAGAGGGGCAGGATGAAAGCCGTTCAAAGCCTGATGGAATGGAATGGTAAACTCCCATTTTCTGTCGCCTGTCAACTTCCTATAATTCAAATCACCCTTGAATAAAATTAAATGTGCTTTCTGTAGTTCAGCATATAAGTCAGGAGCAACCTGAGACATTGCACAGAATTCATGAGGGAGTGTCCAAAAAATATGATCATGGTAAACCCATCTGCCCATTTTAATATAGTTTTCCCAGTCAACCCCACACTTGGACAAGTGCTTATGATTAGAATGTTTTACTTGTTCAATTAGCCAGTTAAAATCATGTATAGTGGTATCAGAAACAAACCATGGAATAGTTTTTCCATAAAAATGAACCTCAGTAGCCAGCTTAGAAGACAACAAGAAGTCAGCTAATATAAGATCTGTAACAAGTTCAAAACCAGAATTATCCAGAACGATATCCACTCTACTAACAGTGCCTTTTCCTCTTGTTTTCTTGCGATTGCTAAGCAATGACCAAAGATGTTCCATGTCATTCACTAAAATGAAAGGTCTGAAGTGTTCCAAGGAATTTATTATATTGGTCTTCTGAGAAATGGTATTCCCACTTGACAGAGATAGATCGCACTTATTTCCCCACAATGAAATCTGAAAAAGAAAAGGTACAAGACATTTACCCTTCTTTTGAATTACCAACAAAAACTATTACATAGGGAGGGATTGCTAACAGTATTCATAAAGTTGATTTCTACAAAACTCTTAATATAACATGTCCATTAAACAACACTTTGCCTAGTAATGCAAAGATGATGTTTACATGATGCTGTATAAAAAGGTAAAATATGAAGTTTTTTACCTTTTACTCTTACACTATTAATTTGGTCGAGTTGTCACTCACCTGAGTCATTTGAAAAACAGACACCCCCCCCCAACCTCTACTCTGGGGCCTCTTCAGTCTGTTTTCAGAAGTAATCCTTGAAATACATCACTTGATATTAAGCCGCTGATCTAAACTCTCTAACAGCTTCCCATCTCATTTTGGGAATCAAACCCAAGTCCTTATCTTCGACGACCAGGCCTGCTGTGGCAGTTCCAGCCCCTCTCACCCGTCCTCATTTCCTACAGAATCCCCGTACAGTTTTTCACACTCTTGGCGGGCTCCCAACTCAGGCCTCGCAAGAAAGCTCCACCCCAGACATGCACGTGACCCGCTCCTTCACCTGCTTCAGGTCTGTTCCCAAGTCACTAGTCCTTCCCTGGCAGCCCACTTAACACACAGCCCCTCCCCCCTCCACCAACATTCCTAGTTCCCCTTCCCTGCTTTATTTCTCTTCACAACACTTTCTAACGATTCTTTCTGGAACTATTTCTAACTTTTCCTGGGAAGTGAGGGCTGAAGATACTGCTGTGTAAAACTATACATTTTCAAATAGTTCCGAATCTAGTTATATAAATTTAAGAATGTTTTGAATGAAAATGGAAAACTAAAATTAGTACTATATAGATGGAAGAATGTAGTAGAACCATATTAAATAGGCCAATGCCCACCCAAGTCTCCGCCTGCTGTGTTCCAGACTCAATACTCAAATGAATGAATCTAGTTTAACTCTCACACCAAATTACGAGATATACAATATCATCTTCATTTAACAGATGAGGAAACTAAAGCTCAGAGCAATTAAATAACTTGTCTCATGTACAACCACAAATAAGCAACAAAACCAGCATTCAAGCCCAAGTCAGGCTGGGCCGACCAAATGACTGCGAAGTATTCTCTCAAGGATAACAGAAGCTATGAAGCCACTAAAATCTGTGCCACTAAAATCGCGTCCAGGTGGAGTAGAAGAGATTTCAAAACCATTTTCAGAAATTAAGTGGATTTTCATCTCCTGAATAACACTATTACTAAAATGATTTTTAAAAACTGGTCAATTATAACTAAAAAAGACTGTATATATACACGCTTTGTTGTTAAATGTGTGCCAATTTTTTTAAACTGTTTAAGTAAACAAATACACTTCAGAGATTATCACATTTACCTGAAGAAGTTTAAAAAACTCATTTTTCAGATTATTTTCATCTAGATCTTCAATAGTTTTCAGCAACTCTTGTAGGTGAGTACCTAGAGCAATGATAGATTCCTGTGACTCAAAGAAGTTTTGTTCTTTTGATTCTTTAAATACATCAAAGTCATCGATGGGTGGACTAAAGTAGGAGAAAAACATAAGTGAAACGTTTATGTAACTCCGAAATATTTGGGTAATTACAATTCCTTAATGAAAAAGAATAGTAGTACTCGGTTTCAAAAATTACTGGTAATAGACGCTGGATATAACACAGATCAAGTTACACAAAATAATAATCAAAGTACACAAAATAAATCAAATTACACAAAATAAGTCCCCCAAACTCATTTTAATTAGCTGTCAAAGTCTCTAATCAAATATTTTACTGGAAGTACTAAATAATTTGTGACTATGGCCATAACTATTTATCCAGTAAGGTTTCCAGGACAAAGAAGAAAAAAGAAACAAAATTTCAAGACAACTGCTTTAGTAATCACAAATCAAGCCAAACACAGAGTATTATGGGAAACCAATGACTACTTGAGATAAATCAGATAATACTAATGTAAATTTTATTATAATGATGAATTTTGATCATTTATGTGTAGATTTTTTTTGGCAACCTTTATTCCCAAGGTGACTCTGACCCACAGCTATGTACGTGTCATGGAAACATCTTCATGCTGCCCAAGGAGATCTCAAACAACATCAATACTGGCCTAAGGAAACTATAACTAAGAAGATATATGCTGACATGATAACCTTTACAGATTCAAATGTAAAAGACATTCAGATTATCTGATCTTCTAAATTAGCTACTTTTTTACATGGGTCATCCACCTTAGAGTAAAAATGATATGATGGAGTCAATAGGATTGATTTAAAAAACAAAACCAAAAACATACCATAATTTATACATCCAAAGGATTGCTGCCTCCTTCCAACCAGTCACCTTGAGAACTACACCCTTATCCCAAGGATGCTGCCATTGCTCAAAGCACTTTTGGAATTCCTCTTATGGAATTGTCTTCAGAACCTATGGCACATTGTTAGATGTCTTGTCAGTGATAGCATATCTTCATCCTTCGGAGTTAATTTCTTTTTGGAAACAGCCAAAAGTCACTCAGAGCAATTTCATTAGAATGAGGTATGTCAATCAAATGGACTAAAACACTTTTGATCAAAAATGAGGAGTGACTAAAAAATAATGAGACTAATATTCTTTCTGAGGCTTGTAAACTGGCTCTGAAAGAAGTTACAAAGAATTAAAAGGTGTTTTTAGCAATGGCAGCATTGCTGAAATTAATCAGTCTCTCACAGAGACTTAAAAGGATAAAAAGTTTTTGGTAGCAGAGGTTCAAGTGTAGGGGTCGGCACACTAAAGCTTGCAGACCCAACTGGCCCACCCGTGTTTTGTATGACCTGCAAGCTAAGAACAGTTTCTACATTTTTTAATGGTTAAAAACAATCAAAAGGATATTTCGTGACATATAAAATTAAAACTTAAGTATCCATAAATGAAGTGTTCTTGGAATATCACCAGATTCATTCATTTATGTGCCATCCAGGGCTGCTTTTGCACTGCTGTGACAGAGCTGAGTAGCTTTGACAAAGACTTTGTGGCCCCCACAGCCTAAAATATTTACTATCTGGCCCTTTACAGAATAAGTTTTGTTCTAGTGTTTTATTAACAAATCATTCATTAAAGTCACACTTCATATTAAGAATGAGCCTGTTGTATTTAAGAGGGTAAACTCACACAACTATGTGTGATTTCTGATTTTAAAATGTTTGCTATTTTAGAATCTCTAAAGCTGTATGTATGTGCATATACTACGACCCAGTGGTTCACTCCTAGAAATAAACACACACGTACGTTTACTATATACATGTGTTTGAATGTTTGTGGCAGCTCTCTTCATAATAACCCCAAACTGGAAACCACTCAAATATCCATTAACAATAGAATAGGTAAACAGAGTGTAATATTCTCATAAAATGCAATACTAGACAGCAATAAAAACAATTTACAACTATATGTAAACAGTATGGATGAATCTCATCAACATAATAGTGAAAGAAGCCAGACACAAAACCACATCCCATATAATTTACTTTAAATGAAGTTTAAAATCAAGCAAAACTGATGCAGACTGTGGTTTTCCTGAAGGGGTGGTGATGGTAGTGACTGGAACGGGACCCACGGGGGGCTTCTGGGGTCCTGGTAAGGGTCTGCTTCTTGATCTGGGCAACTAGGGACACAAGAGTGTTCTAGTAAAGATTGCTGAACACTTAATATCTGTGCGCTGTTATGTACATATATTATACTTCAATAAAGTCAACATAATCATGTTTTAAAGCTTGTGTGTGTATTGAGATCCTACGAAAAGCTTTTTAAAAAATCCTTCTTTGGTCACTGTAAAGCTGTCACTGACCCAGAACAGGAATTCCACCTACAAGAACTCTGACAAATTCTGAAAACTACTTCAGTGCTAGTTCTGCTGTAGGATGGTTCTTTTTGATACTGACCTAAAACCTGAGTTCTGGTACAATATAATACAAATCCTCAGACCTTCGAATATCTGCCACAAAGGTTACCTGTAGAGATTTCTACATCTACGGCTGAATAATAGTCTCCATCCTGAGACTTAGAGCTCCCAAGTTTTGCCTCTATCCCTTTTAATAAGCTATTCCTGGACCAGTGGTGATCAACCTAAGCTGTGCAGAACCTTCCCTGCAGTCTACCCAGGCCCCACCACAAATTAAATCATCAGTATTTCTTTCAAAATCCGCAAGCTAACAACGAAAAAAACCTCCCCAACTGGGTTATAAATGTGTAGTCAGGTTTGTGAACTTCTGCCCTAGGTTTTTTTATTCTGTGAACCTGATCTACCTCTAAAATCAAACTCAGAAACATTCCTTTTACCTTTCTAACTTCCAAACTCCACCAAACCTTTTCAGGGTGCTACCTGGTCTTTCAACAATTGGGCAGCTTTGGCTAATACTGCATATGTGTTCCAAAATTATGAAACCATCACCCAGAATCTCAGGTTAACATTAGCTCCTGACAGATATCCAAATCTACCACTTAGAAAAAGGTAGTCTGATGCGGGCTCTAATCTACTTTACACAGACCAGGCTCAAATACTGTAAAATGGAAACCAGTACCTACACTTCTCCGAGTTGCAAAGTAACTGGAACGTAGCTGGTATTCAACATGTGACAGCTCCTAGTATTAGCAGTAGTCTTTTGCTTGGGTGCCTTCTGTGTGGCAGGCAGTGTGCTAGATTTTAAATACATACTGTATTTTGCTTTTAGAGCAGAAGTCCTAAAACATACTTATTCTGCAAAAACAACAAACTGTGACTTTAAATAATTTATAAAGATTAAGACAGGAAAAGCTCATGAATAGACTCAAATTTATGCATGTTTCCCAATTTTGTTTTACTATTAGTGTTGGTTTGATTGCTTTAAATTATCCTATGCTACGTTTAGGAACAGAAACCAAAGGATTCCTCTTATTCAACAAACCTGTATTTTTGTAATCTGTAAGCTAAAAAATGATCCGCATTACATTTTCTTCTGCTCTATAAATGAGAATTTTTTTTAGAAAATATTAGTGTAAACTAGCTTATAAAAATTATTTAGAACATGTGTTTACCTTTGAGTCTTTTTCTAATCTGGCCATTAAAACACTGGGCTAAAGATTAAGATAGTGCATCAACCAATGCAGTGATTCACTATTTTGTTGATTTACTCCAAATTAATTGATATGTTATGTATTTAAAACAAAATATATGCTTACTTTGTCCTATGTTGATTTTTATGTAATTATTTCACATTAACATTTTTTTTTGCCCAATATGTACAATGTTTTACTCTAGAAGAAAAGTGAGTCTTTTTAAGAATTTTAAATTAGTTTCCATTTCAGATATGCAACCTTATGTCTATTCCAGGAAAGTGGATTATAACTGCCAAGAATCTATTATAGCAATAACATTTGCAACAATGTCCAAGACTGCTATTAATATCTGCTGAACTAAATGCAGGGTTTCACTGGTTTTTATTTTTAAACTTACCATTTTATAACTTCGAAAAAAGCATAAATTATCTAAACATTTATCTGACAGTTATACACCTACCTCTGGATAACTGCTTCATGAATTCTACGATACATGTAGCATTCCACAAACAACCACGGCGAGTAGAACCACCTTGGTTTCCCATCGCTTTCACTGAGGAGACTCTGCTGATGTTCTAGGTACTGATTCCATATGTCAGTATCTGCAAACTTCTCAACCAAGGGGATAATTGGCTTATCTGTTTGCAATTCATTCCGTAATTTAGAAAGAAGAGAAATAGCTTTCTTTTCAGCTTCCATACCTTTCTGCAGAAATATAGAAGAAACCTTTATATACAAAAATACATGAAAAATCTATATATAATTAATTTGTACATATAGTTTATACATACATATATATATAAGTAATTCTTCTAGGGTAGCACATTTTTATGTACCTAAACTTAAGAAAGAAAAAATTACTATATTTCAAAACTACATTTTGTCTTCACAAACTATTATAAACATTTAAATTTAGAATTCTTAATTGAAAACCAAAGCACACAGAGGTCTCATATCAACATTATCCTGCCTTACTATTCTTTTTTTTTTCCAAGTTTCATCTTATTAACCGAAGTCCTTTCATTATCTCTAGGTGAAATGACCATTATCACAGAGGAAAAACAGCTTCTGTTAGAGTTAACAAAAAAAATTAAAGTTCAACACATTTCTTACCTCTCCATGTTTCTCAAAAAATTCACTTTTATGTCGATGTAATGTATCAATAGCCTTAGTTAAGATTTGTGGTATTCGGTCTTTAATTGTAAGATAAGCAAATGATCTAGAAAAGTAACATACACAGTATATTACTTAGTAACATTAATCCTAGAAGATTGGTCATCTTTCCATTTCCGGATCACCTTATTTAAATTAAAATTTCTTTTTATACAACCATTATAAGAAAAACCAGCATTGTCTGGCTACTATACTAAGACATAGGAAAATCTGAAAATTTCTCTGGTAAGTCATGGATACTAAGTAGTCTTTTGTGCCTCAATTCCAGATTGTTCCCTGAAGTCTGTTTAATCATTCTTCTTTCCCATTCCATTCCTTTTACTTATCAGAAACTAGTTTAACAATGTGATAGGTCAGAAAAAGAAATTTCCCTAGAAATCAAACAGGCTCTCCTTCCAGGTTAATTACTAAGTGACTTCACTACTTAGAAAGATGAATGAGGCCGTGGATGTAAAACTGCCTGGAAGACTCATTCTAATGTACTAGTAAAAGAATAAAGAATAAAAGATACTTATGGACCTGCTTCTTTCTTTCCTCTTAGCCAATTTTAATTCTTTTCAAAGGCTTTCTTATCCTGCTGCCTTTTCTTACCCGCATGACTCCTTCCACCTTCTGTCCTTAAACAAAATTAAGGCATGTTACCATCTTGTGCTTCCAACCAAAAAAAGAGTTTCTAGAATTGTCAACAAAAGCTGGAGATAAGAAAAACTTGAATATACTTGCATTTAAAAAAATCAAAGCTAGCCTTGATTTTAAACAAGAACCAAAATGTACAAATTATCATTTTATTGGTAGTTTTTTAAGGAAATACAAGATTCAGTTAGAAAAAGACTTTAGTAAGTGGTGAAATTCAGTGCAGTTTTTAAATTGAGAGTGCAGAACCTGGCTGATCATTTATATCTTCAACTCATCAGAGATAAAGTAAAAACAAAGAAAGCTGACACAATAATTTTGAAAATACTTCTTCCCAACCACCTACTATAACTGAGATTGTCACACTTCTAAAAACTCAAATATCTTACTGTATTTTCTTTAAATACTGTATTATACCCTGAGTATTTCTTCAAGAGATTTCTTCAAATGATGGATGTAAAACTACAAAGCTAGAAAATTGCAAAAACACTGATTCTGTGGTGCTTGGAGTAACCTAGTGATTAGGTTTTAATATGTGTAGGAACTACTTTGATCAGAATTTAACTTTTAAAAATCACTACTAAATCCTTGAAGAGAACGAATATTAAATTGACACAATTTTCCAAGGCAGCAGATGCAAAAAGTGACAATCCCTTGAAGATTTTACTTCATTGGAAAGTATGTATTACTTTTTCCAGCTACTAAATTTCCGCCCAGACCAGGAATAAAGTGAGGCTAGAGAAGCCAGCCGTCCGTTCAAACTTTAAGGACACATTTCCTGTTTTTGCGCAGCCGAGTGCCTGCTATAACTCTGGATCACTGGTTAGCACTCTGGCCTCAATCTACTCCCAGTAAGGTCATTTCCTTCTAAGTGTTCTTGTGTTTTGCAATATTTTGGAGAAAGGACATATCTCAAATACAAATCTGGCCATTCGATATATACAAATGCATTTTTTACGGTGTTCTACAGCTTTATCTAGAATATGTAACGACGCCCAAACAGCAAACGGCTACATATATTTTTTAAATAGCGAGACTATGAATTAATATGACCAACAGTAGAAACACATTTCTCGATAGATCTGAGACTCCTAACTTTTACAGAGAATTTTAATCCCCCAAAAGTGCGTTTACTAAAACATTAAAGCCATGTGCTCTGCAACGCCCTGAAAGGGTGTACAGGCCTCTGCGGGGCAGAAGAGGCATAAACTCTCAAGGCAATCATGCGGGAGTAAAAAAAAAAAATCACTTTAAAGACAAGTTAACTGCCCAACACAAATTAATATAAGCCTATTAAAACGCCTGAAAAATCACTGAAGAGAGGTGGGATAACTGGAGACTATCAGCTGGGATTCGAAGTCCGGTCGTGTGGAGTCAGGAAGAGGCCACGAATCACCGCAAGGAAGGTTCTGCAAGGCCGATCCGAGTCTGGAGCCGGGCGAGCGGCCGCAGCGAGCGGACTCATGCCCCGGGGCTGGCTCGCCCCCGCCTCCACGCGAGTCAGCGACACAGAGGAAGCGTCCCCTGGAAGCGGTGCCCGACGGCGGGACTGAACTCGCGGTCGGCGGGGAGCGGGCTTCTTCCTGCCCGCCAGCCCGTCGTGGATTCCCTACTGGATACCAACAGCTTCCCGGCGAGGCCCGGCTTTCCACGAAAGTGGGGAGGAAGAAAAGGAGCGGAGGGACCGGGCGAAGAGAGCGACACCAACCCTACGTCCTGGCCGGAGAGAGACGCCGGAGGCTCCGCCATCACCTCCGTGTTCCCCGCGCCAACGCTTGGATCTCACCCGCCGCAGGAAGAGAGGCGGTGCCCGCGCGGAGGAGGAGCTGAGAAACGGACGTACCAGGGTTAAAAAAAAGCTTTTGAATAAAGAAACTTTATTTGTTGCCCGTAGAAGAGACAAACAATGCCCGCTCCAGGATACGGAGATCTTCCGGGGACGAAGGCGGGGATAGCGGAGGGCGACGAGAGAAGCGAATAAGGAAGCGGGAGGGAAGCGGAAGCAAGGAGGGACCGGGAGATCCCAGAGACTAAGGAGCGGAAAAGGTCGCGGCGGCCGCGGGTCACGTGGTCGGTGGTCACGTGGTCGGGTAGTCACGTGGCCAGGGCGGCCGGCGCTCAGCCCGGTCCGGAGTTCTGTGCGCCTGCGCCGTGCCGAGCGGTGGGCGGGGCGCCAGTGCAGTAGCGGAGTGGCTGCGGGAAGCGGGATCCTGCAGCGGTGTCTGTCTCTTCCTTGCAGCCAGGCGCGTTCTTGTTCTCTTCCCGCGTAGAGGTTAGTGCACTGCCTTTCCCTAGCAGCTTATATGGTCCTGCACAGCGGTCCCCCGCCTTTGCTCCCAGCCTTCCTGAACGTCTCGCGTCACAGCCTTCACCGATACTGCTATGGCCCCCTGCCTCTGACAGTGATCTTTGGTCGCCTTATCTGGGACTAAAAAAAGCACCCAGTCCACAAACTTATTGAACTCTTTTTTTGAACCAGTGCATAGCAGTAACTGCAAAGACAAATAACTTTGAGCTTAAGGAATTGGAAGGTGTGTTCCCGAAGATAAGCGCTACTTACCCATTGATTTGCAGCCCAGCTGATAACCGTTTTCTCAGTAGGAAATATACCCAAGAAATGAATAGCCGCTTTGTATTTCATTCACAAAATGTGAGTTGACTACCTACTGTGTGCTGGGCACTGTGGTTCCAGGAGAACAGCATGAGCAAAAGACGAAATCTCAGTTCTCAAGAAGATTCCATTCTACAGGGGAGAGAGACAAATCTATCCGTTCCTCTTCTCTTTTTTCCTCTTAACATTGTCACTAATATATATTTTGCTGCTTTACCATGTTTTTTGTCTGTCACTCCAATGTGATGTAAGGTTCAAAAGATAGAGATTGTCGTCTATTTTATTTTTCTGTATTTTCAGCAAGTAGGACATTGTCTACCACATGATAGGAACTCAGTTCATATTTGTTGTGTGAATCAATAAATTAAAAATACAAGGTATGCAAGTGATTTTAAACGCAATGAAGCAGTACAAAGGGAGGAAGACAGAGTGAGTGCTGGTTGTGCATTTAAAACAAAGCGATTGGGGAAGACTTCACTGGGTAGGAGACATTTGAGCAAAGATCTGAAGAAGGTGAAGGAATGAGGCTTACAGATACCTGGGAGAAGAGCAAAAGGGACAGTAAGTGCAAAGATCCAGAGGCCAGAGCAGCTGGAGCAAAATGAGCAAGGGGTAGAGCTGCAGAAGATGTCAGAGTCGTGATAAAGGGCCAGAGAATGCAGGGCCACACAAGCCATTTTAAGGTCTCTGGCCTTGAATATTTCAAGTGAAATATGCCATTGTCATTTTGTACATTGGAAGAATATGATCCAACTTAAGTTTTCAAAGGCTCACTTTGGTTGCTGTGTTGCGAAGAGTCTGTAGGAGGCCATGAATAGAAGCAGGGAGACCAATAGGGTCTATTAGAATAATCTTTGGGAAAGATAGCAACTTGAACTGGAGTGGTAATAGTGTTGCTGGTAAGAAATAGCCCTAATAAAGCTAAGTGGGATTTGCTGACAGAATGGGTATGGAGATCAAAGTAAAGAGTCAAGGCAGGCTAGGTCTTTAACTTTAGCAAAGATAAGGATGTAATTGCTATTTCATGAATGGGAGAGACTGGGAAGATTTCAGAAGCTGAGATTTGAGCATGTTACATTTTTATGCAAATGACTGGTTTAGAGATAAATATTTAATATTCATTGATTGTATATAAGACCACGAGATTGGGTGAGATCACTAAGAGCTGAGAATAGAAAAGTAGCCCAAATACTGAGCCTTTGCTCATTTCCATTCTTGAGGGGATGAGAAACCAGCGAAAGAGACCGAAAGGACAACCAATGTGATAGGTAAGTGACCATTGTGGTCTCCTGGAAGCCAAGGGCAGAAGATGCTTCCAGGAGGGTGGGGTGATCAACTGTGTCAGATGTTGCTAAGTCAGGTAAAACAAAGACTGAGAAGTGACCATTGGACTTAGAAATGTAGAGGTCATTCATTGGTGGCCTTGACAAGACGGTTTTTGTAAAGTGGTAGGGATGAAAGTCTGATAGGAGTGTGTTTGAGAAAAATCAGAGGAGTTGGAGACAGTAAATAAAACCTTAAAAGGAAGAGAGCTTCGAGAAAAGATGTAGTGAAGGGAAAATGGAGTCAGGGGAGACTTGTTTTTATAAGATGAGAGAAATTAAAGCATAGTTGTTCGCTAATAAGAATTCATCAGTAAAGAGGGAAATATAAATAGCATGGAAGGAGGGCAGTAGAGTTTAATCATTCTTTCTGTAGGCAGGAACGGATGAGATTCAGTATGCAGATGGGGGACCTGGCTCTAAATGGAGCCAGGGGCAATTCATCTCAAATAGCAGAAGGGAAGATAAAGTATACAGGCACAGAAGCAATAGGTGGGCAGGTGGTTGATGGCAGAGAGCTTGTGGAAGCAAGATCATTATTGAGAGTGGAAGAGGAGGAGGCATTGAAGGTCTGAGGAGAGAGTAGAGTAGAATATGATAAGGAAACACAGTTAAGATTATTGAGCAGCAGAAAAGCCCACACGAAATGAGTAGTCATGATTTTAAAGTAAAACCAGATGGCCTGGTTGGTTGGCTGTCTCCAGCCACACAAATTAGGTGAATTATTTTTAATTGAGATTGAGGTTATGTCATGTAAGTGGCAGAGTGAAGGGTGCAAGGGATTTGAGGTGTGGGAGAGAGATTATAATGGTAGGCCATGGACTATAAACTGGGTGTGGAGGAAGTGAAGTGGGGAGTAAGGGACGGTGAAAAGGTGGTGACGTGGTTCCATAGTGTAGCGGTTAGCACGTCTGCTTTACATGCAGAAGGTCCTGGGTTCGCGCCCCAGTGGAGCCACGGTCCATGGTCTATGACCATGCCACCCTGAACAAGCCCAGTGTCTGATCTCGGAAGCTTAAGCAGGGTGGGGCTTGGTTAGTACTTGGATGGGAGACCACCTAGAACGACTAGGTGCTTTAGGCATAAATAATAATAATTCTTTTTTAAAAAGGTGGTGAGATCGTTGAGTTGTAGGTCCTTTTGGATTTGAGGAATTGCTGGAATTAAGTAACAAGTGAACTGAAAAGCAGAAGTGATGTTTGGAGAGTAGGATGCTTGAAATTGAGAAAATGAGAGTGCAGTTATTAGTAATGACACAGTCTAGAGCAGCACTGTCCAATAGAAGCACAAGGCAAGCCACATGTGGAACAAGTTTTCTAGATGCTTTTAAAGTAAAAATAAATGGATGAAATTAATTTTACTTTATCCCAGTATGTCTAAACATTTTTTTTTCAACAAGTAATCAATGTAAAAATTATTGAGATATTTTACTTTTTTGTATTCAGTGTAAAATTCAACATACAAGAGAAAGTTTCTCTTATTTTATTGAGCCACATTACAAGTGCTCAGTAGCCACATGTGCCTAGTGGCTACCACACAGCTCGGAGCATATGAGCCTGAGAGTTGAGTGGCTGAGGAAGGATGGAAGACAAGATAGGTCAGGGAATTTGGGGTCAGGGATTGTAAAAGTCATGCCCTCTACCAGTCTGCATGGGAATGGAGACCATCAAGAATTAAACAAGGATAACATGGAGGAGCATCTGAATCCAATGCTAAAACGTTACATAAAGCTGTTAAGGGAATTAAAAATCCAGTACTTTTTATCCTTAAATTTACTTGGTACAATTAAAATTTCATTTTCCTAAGATGTGTGCCAATTTTTAACAAAGCCTGAGTATTTTTTGTGTTGGGTACCTTAAATGCGACATGTCTTTCTCAGCAAAAATAAAAAACACACTTCTTGTTTGTCCAATAGCTATTAACTTTGCTTGTCCCATCCTGTCGCTTTGAACCCTGGTGTTACACATAGCCTCTGTGTGAAGGCAGTCTTTAGAGTTGGGAGGTAAGAATTTCCTAGAATAGTATGGAAGAATCCAGGTCTTCGTACACAGATTTCTAAAATGTTTTATAATTAGATCTTTAAATAGTACCAGTAAAAGGTGAACTATGATAACTCTCATATGGCACTAAACATAGAATTCCAACTTTTGAAGATATCTTGAAAGCAGCAGGTTCTGCCTCAATGCTGCTGTGACTCATCCTCGTCCTCTTCTAAAGGGAGGTGATGGAGTGCAGTAGGTACAAGTGATTTTGGAATTGGAACAGCCTAGGTTTTAATTACATCTCTGCAAACTTGCTCACAGCCTAAGCCTCAGTTTCTTGACCTGTAAAATGCCTTCTAGGATTATTGTGAGGTGAAGCAGAGTGCTTTGCGGTAGAAGGTTCTCAGTAAGTAATGTCTTGGTCTCTCAGTTCCTCCTCTATGTCATTATCAAAGATACGTTTCTTAAACATACCTTTGACCATGTGAGTCTCATGCTGGAAAGCTCTGGCTTCCTCCTACCTAAGAAACTCTTCGGGATCTTTTGTGATCTGACCCCTGGCTCCTTTTCTATCCTGATCCCTTAAGCAGTTTACTCCTGCCTGCCTTGAAGCTGCACGTTTTTTGTCAGGTAAACAGCACTGTGTACCTGGAGTGTTTGATTTGCTGATCCTCTGCCCTTCTGAGACCCAGTTCAAATGTCACCCCTTTGAATGTGTCCCACCCACCCCTCACCCCAGGTGCTTCCTTCTCTGCGCCCCGTAGCAATTTGGACATACCCCTATTTTAGTGCCTGTCGCATTATTGTCTGTTTCCCCTGCTGGACTGTGAATTCTGAAATCATTGATTCCTACCTGTATCTCCAGCACCTAACGTTATTTTTTAAAAGAATTATTTATTATTAATTGCTTACTATAGGCTTACTTTTAAAGAACAAATATTTTATACTATAAATAAGGGAGGAAATTACTTATACAATCTGTTTCCTTTGGAGTGCGTGCATGTGTCTGACATCCTGTACCCCACCTCCACCAGCCACGCCCACCCCCAACCTGAAAAGCACCTTTCTATTCAAGTAGCAGCTTAAATCTTTCTGAGAGCCTTTCCTGACTCTTAATGTAAAATTAGGCAAGCTCCAGGCGTTTCTTTATACCTACAGGCCTTTGGTAGGGCCTAGGGCCTTTTCCACTGAGTTATAATGAGCAGTTGAAAATGTCTGCCCCCAGGATACCATTGGCACCCTGGCTGCAGGAGCACTGTTGTTGCATGGAAGCTTCCCTGGCCTTATCTATCTCATGCTTATCTCATTGTAAAGACAATAAGTTTTGAATAAGGGAATTTGTAAGTACAGATTTTTTAATAGTTAATATGCTAATGAAATAAATGAAGAGATCTTATCACTCTTTTTTCTTTTTTGAAGTCTTAGTCAATAGCTTTATAATCTTATAATCTTCCAGAGAGGCGGCCAAAGGTTGACTAAAGGGAAAGTAATAGAAATACTTGTATTTATTTTTTTTATTATTATTTTTTTACTCGACATAGGTAAAGATGTATCTGTTTTGCAAAATTTTTACAGAAGTATGCCTATTACCTAGGAAAATATGTGTTATATATAACGTGTGTGTATGTATGTTTTAAACATTTTTAAGAAAAACTTGACTTTGATTTTTTTTTTTTTCTTTTTTTAGTTTGGGATGTGGAAATGTCAGCCAGACTTCTCAGAGCCCTGGCCGGATCTCACTGTATTTTGTCAAAAGCATGTCACTGCCAAAAACTTGTTCATCAGACAGTAAAATCTCTTAAGGCATTTGAGAGTACAATGTGCAGCACCCTGGCAAGAAGCCAGAACTTGGATTTGTTCTTTCCTGATAGAGCAGCTGGTGGTTCGAATAAGTCCCAGATTCTGGACATGAACCAGAGCATATCAAATGCAAGCATATTCTATGCATTAAACACTGCGTATTGCCAAGATGAAAACGCGCCCTTTCCAAGCAAGAAGTCCCTGGGTGCTCACCGGAAAGTGACTCACAGACCAAATCTATTAGGTCCTAAGTGGTTTGTAAAGATATTAGAGAGGCATTACTCATCGACGTCAACAGAAACGCTTGTTCCTAAACAGGACTTTCCACAGATCAAGAGACCACTGAAAGCATCGAGGACCAGGCAGCCATCCAGGACCAACCTTCCCCTTCTGTCTGCGAATGAGGTAAAATTGTGTGGCAGGGCCGTTCTGTAATAATTGTTCACTTTCTATGACAGTGTATGCTCCACCACAGCTTTACTGCAAGCGTTAGAGAACTGGTGACCAGTTCAGCATATTTTTTTTAATCAAGATCTGTGTAGCCTATTAGTAAAACATGTCATGTCCAAAGGGAATCAGATCTTAATTTCGAGAATTAGTGATACATAGAAAGACAAAATATAGACTGTTAAATATAAAAATATAATTTATGAAAGAGTTAGTTATTGGCCTTCTTTGAGAAAGAAAACTGGTAGTAAATCTAGTCTAGGAATGGTACTATAAAAAAATAGCCATTTAAAAAAATTCAAACTGCAGAAATTCTTTATTAAATTAAAAGATGATTTTTTTTTGGTAGCTATGCAGACAGGTAAGCGTTCATTAGCGGATGGTAGCTGCGTGGCGTGGGGTGCTGAAGTGACATGGCGAAAGGCAGCAAGGTTTCTGCATTTTTATCCTTTGAAGGTCAAATAGGGTATTTTTACTCAATATTAAAAGGTTTGTGAGAATTTCTCAGCTATAATCACATTTCCTCTCTAAATGATAAATATTCAGGGTCAGGGTCAAGCCTTTCGTTGACCCTTGTATCTTGCATAATACCTGGAACTGTGCCTTATACTTAATAAATGTTTATTAAGTTGGAAAGGATGGAAAAGAAGCAGAAGGATTTGTCTGTAGTCCTCGATCTTAAAAATAGGAATGTAGACTATTTAAAACTTGTTGGGGCCGCCGAATCTATCGGAAAACAGATGAGAATGTCTGTCTAAAAATCGTGGTTCTGAGAAGTAGACCCAGAGCACGTCTCATCTGGTTGTGTGTCGTGTTGTTTTGTTTGTTACTGTGCAGTTGACTTCCTTTGAAAAGGTGTATAGACTGTCACTACTGATCCCCAGGTTATGAAGTAAGGAGTTGATTAATGATTTTTTTTTTTTTTTGATTCTAGTTTTTTGTAAATTCTCTGAACCCAGATATAAAGGATCTAAACGTTTTGCATGAACTGCTCTCATCATTTCTTCTTCTTCGCTCCTGACTTTTCGATTACATTGTTTAGCTTTGTGATAGTTCGGGAAATTCAGTACCTAAGTGACTGAGATGAAATTAAGTGTAAAAACCTAAATTCATGGCAAATACAGAAAAGAGGAAGATCGACTCCCTTTTTTCTTTTTTAATTCTAGCAGCACAGAGCATAATCAGGCTTCTTATGAAGATGCCGTTAAGGTCAGAGATGTCACTTTTTTTGTCATTGTCGACTGTAAACTATCAAAGAGGCATTATTTCTCTGGGCTGTCCTTAGACTTGGAAGCAGTTTTTCTGAATTCCATTTATTATTCTTCAGGATTTTTTTTTTCTGCTTCCAGGAAAGGATTCTAAGTAGATTTTCAAAATTTAATGCAATTTCAAATGAGACAATAAAAGCATTACTTTTACAATAGAACAAATAATGGCCATGAACAGAGAAATAAATGTTATCAGGTATGATATAACTCATTTAGTTGAACATTTAGTTCTGATTAAAGAAAGGAGGAAATCCTGAGTTGTATATTTCTTGTCGTCTGACAGGAGAAAAAAAGAAAAACATAAAAATGTCTTACAAAAAATAACTATCCCCATCACCAAATTTAAGGAGTCATTTATTTCCTGGATCCTTATATAGGAGAGATTATGTAACATAATAGACGTGACTTCATGTAGGGTGTTAGAAAAACAGAAACAGAGTTCACTTTCTAAACCAGTGTTCACTTTCTAAACCACTTTCTAAAAGCACAGGGAAATAATAGAAATAATGTTACATTTCTAAAAGCATTTCTAAAATGGTTTCATAGGTGGACAGTCTTGAGATGTGACTAGATACTCTATCCCTGGGGCTGAGATGGGCTTTCATCTGCCCCTGATGGAGGGCCACTCCATCTCCACGTGGGTGTCATGAGGCTGGCGAATCCTTCGTGGTGCTATAGTCCTTTCTGTCCCTCTAGACTGAGACAGGAAAGGACTCTACTTTGTTCCAGAAAGTAGGTGTGCTTGGTCTCGTTCCCCATGCATCCTCCTGATCTGGGACTCTCCTCCGCCACACAGCATGCACTTGGAACTGACGAATGAGGTTAGTCGCCCTCTATAGCAGAGCCAACTCTACCTGGTCTCATCAGCAGAGATCATAACCTACTGAGCTATTCAGCCCCTGTCCGACTGGCTCAGCACTTATGGCAGTGACAGTGCTGCTGCTTGGCGTGGCCTGCCCTTCAAGAGAATGCTGGAGCGTAAGAACCACTGCTCTGAGCAGCGTGGGGCCTGGCATGAGAGGGACAGTGCTGAAATGCCCTCAGGTGGTTGTCAGATGATCACCACAGTGTACTGGCAATGTAATTGGTGGGTTGTTAACCATTTTTTCTTTCAATGAAATAGAATAGAAAGTATTAGCATGCCTTACTCATGGTAAAAGTTTTGGGAAGCTTTGTATCAGTTACGGGTATGTGTGCACATATGTATATGTGTGCTGTGTATATGAAAGGATTTCTCACCATAGGTAGTAGTCAAAAAGTTTAGAAGCTGTGCGCACTTCCGCAGCCTGTATACTAAAATTGGAACGCAAGGATGACACGCAAATTCGTGAAGCGTTCATAATTTTATAAATGTTGATGACTATGGTGTTACACCTGAAGTTAGTATAATATTGTATGTTAGACATGTTTAAATAAAACTTTTTAAATAAAAAAATTAAAACTTGCCAATAAAAAAAGCTAAAAAGCTTAAAAGCCAAAGCATTTTATTAGTAATATAAAATGTATGTGTGTTTAATAACCTTCACCTATAATCTGTACATAACAGGAAAAACATGCATTTTTTCCCTTAGTAATATAGAAGCAACATTGCTGTAATGCACTAATGTTTTTCAGTAATAGAATGTGCATAAAAATAAACTTTTTTCAGACAAGTGTTCCATCAGAGTGTGTGATGCTCTAAAACAAGAATCATGTATAGATTTCTAGCCCCACCTGCTGGAGCCTGTTTTCTATGGCCAGAAAAACAGACTGAAATGCAGTGGTTTTCTTGGCTTTGGGTTGTTTTGTTTTGTTTTTAAGATTTTAAAATAGAAGTCCTAAATTTAGATCTTAAATCCAATAACTATTTTAGGTTAGTTTGGCACATTTATTTGAAAACAAGTCGTTGACCCTCATTTTAAAACCTGAAAATTGCTATGTGTGTGTATATATGAAATCTTAATAAATAGTTCATGATAAGAATTCAGAAAAAGACATGTATGAAAATGAAAGTGTCTCACAAACACCTTTAATTAATACGGAAAAAGGCAAAGACAAGACACTTAATGGTCCT